GGTTCTTCTGCCAGGCGTTCCCAGCAGACCCTCACTATGCGTTTGGGTCTGCCAGGTCTACGCGGCATGTTCCCTTGCCATCTGATCCAACTCACCACCAGGTGGTGATCAGTTGACAGCTCCGCCCCTCTCTTCACTCGGGTGTCCAAAACATACGGCCGCAGGTCAGATGATACGACTACAAAATCTATCATCGACCTGTGACCTAGGCTGCCCTGGTACCAAGTGTACCGGTGGGCATCCTTATGTTCGAACATGGTGTTCGTTATGGCCAAACTGCGGCTTGCACAGAAGTCCAATAACAAAACACCGCTCGAGTTCAGATTAGGTGGGCCGTTCCTCCCAATCACACCCCTCCAGGTCAAGCTGTCATTGCCCACGTGAGCATTGAAGTCCCCCAGCAGGACAATGGAGTCCCCTGATGGAGCACTATCTAGCACTCGTCCCAGGGACTCCAGAAAGGGTGGGTACTCTGAACTGATATTTGGCCCATAAGCACAAACAACAGTCAGGACCCGTTCCCCGACCCGAAGGCGCAAGGAAGCTACCCTCTTGTCCCCCGGGGTAAACCCCAACACACAGGCAGAGAGTCTCGGGGCTAACAAAAAGCCAACCCCAGCTCTCCGCCTCTCACCCGGAGCAACTCCAGCAAAGTAGAGTGTCCAACCCCTCTCCAGGTCTCGGGTTCCAGAGCCAATGCAATGTGTCGAGGTGAGTCCGACTATATCTAGCCGGTACCGCTCAACCTCTGCCACAAGCTCCGGCTCCTTCCCCGCCAGCGAGGTGACGTTCCATGTCCCAAAAACTAGTTTTCTTGTCCGGGGATTGGACCGCCAAGGCTCCCGCCTTGGTCTGCCACCCGATTCGCATTGCACCGGACCCTTCATGTTCCTCCTGCGGGTGGTGGGTCCACAGTTGGACGAGCCCATGTATCCGGTTCGGGCTGGGCCCGGCCGGGCCCCATGGGCGAAAGCCCGGCCACCAGGCGCTCGCTCACGGGCCCCAACCCCAGGCCTGGCTCCAGGGTGGGATCCCGGTAACCCTCCGGGCCGGGTACTCCGACTCTTCGTTTTAACCGCCATGAAAGATCCTTCGAACCGTTCTTTGTCTCACCCTTCACCTAAGACCAATTTGTCATGGGAGACCCTACCAGGGGCACTAAGTGCCCCAGACAACATAGCTCCTAGGATCATTAGGGCACTCAAACTCCTCCACCACGATAAGGTGACGGTTCAAGGAGGAGAAGTTATTCATCTTTCGAGTGGAAAGTGGAAAACACAAGTATTCCAATGGTATTACAAAATTAACTGTATTCTAATTACCATGTTTAAAAATAGTAACTGTAACTGAATAAGTTTCTCATCTTTGGTATTCTAAATACTGTATTCTAAATTCATGTATTCAGCTACTCCCCAACACTGTTAAACACCCTCTTCTCTAAAATCAGAACAAGTGTTTTGACTACTTTTTTTGGCCCAGCCAACTCCTCTTCGATCCAAATCAAGAAAAGGAACCCTAACGCATACCTATGTTTGTCATTATTTGTAAACGGTAATCAGGTTGGTTTAATTAACTATTAACCACTGCATTCATAGCTTTGGTGAGCCTCAAGGGAGCTAAACAGACACAAAGAGAAGACAAAGTTGATGAAGAGGAGGGATCCGAGATAAACAGTGAAGACGACTATGAGGACGACTCTGACTCCAGCTCTGATTCGTCAGAGAGCTCAGATTCATCACCAGACAGAAAGAAGAAGAAGAAGAAGAAGAAGGGGAAAGGGAAGAGAAAGAAGAGTGGGATGGAAAAGGAGAAAAGGCAAAGAAAAGCAAACATTTCTCTCACCAGTGGGGTGACATTAGTCACTCATAAATGATCAGTGGTAGAAAGGTGTAGTAGAGAGACCACAATGGTTCGAATCAGTCTTAATTTCCAAAAATTATTCCTGCCCATAACAAAGAAAGTTTAGACTAACACACTGGGGCAGTCAGTGGTTGGAAGACTGTGACTGATAGGTTAGACTGACTGACATAGAGACGGACAGATAGGTAGGTAGACAGGCAGATAGACTGAATGAGAAATTGAAATGTCGAATGACAAATTGTTAACATAATGTTCTTAAAGAAGTCAAATGTTTAAATTTGCTCAATTATTCAGTTGTGAGTTCAGTTGTAAATACATATATTTTGAGATACAAATAAAACATGTAAAATTCTTGGTGTTCAATTTCTGCAACTGACAGTAAGTAAATCTCATTTACCACAATGCATTTCATAAGGGATACATGAGTACAATAAGGGTCCAAAGTTCATTCAGTATTTATTATTCATGGTTAAGAAATGCTTATGAGTCTATTAAGCCTTTAGAAGTGTTTCCTAAGGGATAACTGTTTACACTTTACAACAAGGGTCCAAAATTCATTAGGTAATGATTAATTATGGTTAAGTAATGATTATGAGTCTATTAGGCATTTAGAAAAGGTTTTCTAAGGGATCAGTGTTTTTACTTTACCTAAGGTCACGTAAGGGCTTCCTGATGACAAACAGTACAGCATTAGTAAGGCATTAATTAATTGTTTATTAATGTGCATCAAAGTAACATCCAAAACACAGGGTAGGAGAGGTGGATGCATTACTTACCTGTTACTTATTGCTTATTCACTGCAAATACACTACCAAAATAAATGATTACTTGACTAATTGTTAAGGGTTAACTAACACATTACCTACCATGGGAATTAACACATGTGATGCAAAGTAATTAAATAATGCAAGTGTTAATTAAAGCTTAGTACAGCATTAACTAAGGTTCAGTAATAGACATTAGTTAACTGCTTAATAATGCATTAAATTACATGTTTAGTAATGCTATGTAATGCATAAAAGCAGTTGTTAACCATTTAATAAATTGTTTATTAATGCTTAATAATGCACTAAGTAACATCAACAAAGGGACCCTTATTGTAAAGTGTTAAATGGTTCGGATAAAGCCAAAGACTTGGTGGAGACATTCTTTTGAACTTATGAAGATTCTCTTTCTGCAAATTACAATGTACTAAATGAGGAGTTTCTATAAGGCAAGTCCAAAATCCTCTCTGAGTTTAATATTTAAAGGTTAACACAAGTGGAGGTAACCACCCAGACTCCCTTAGCAGTAATCTTTGTATCTTGTGTCCTGGAGTTCCTTGTGCCGAAACCTGAGTCTTCACTCCTGGGAGAGCTTAAAACTCCTTTTTCTCAGGCCCAGGGGAGAAGCCTCCTTTTGTCGATCCAGGTCTCAAAGGTCAGGCAATAATAAAAACAACAAATACTTTAAAACTAGAGTATGTAACTTTGATCTTGAGCATGTGGGCAGGAGACAGTTTTATTATAATGTCAACATGTATAAAACAAAGTTATTATGTTTGCCATGATTGGGTAGCTGTGGTGGCCAGCTTAAATGGGAATGACAGTGATACGAGGAAGGTGCTGAAGGATCATTCTATGGCTCGTGAGTTGTTGGATGGGGTCTTGGTGATTGGTTTTGCAGTCAGACCCCATCAGGTTGTCACCTGAAGACTTTGATGCACCTTATACTCAGTTCAAAGTCAAAGTCATTTTTATTGTCATTTCTACCACATGTGCAGGACATACAGAGAAACGAAATTGAGTTTCACTGCACACAATTCAGAGATCAGACATACACGGGTAAGACACATGACAAGAATTGGTGACTGCGGTCATTCGCAACATGAGTCGCGCTACCTTAGTAGATAGATGAAAAGGGTGTTACATGAGGATAATTGGGGGTAAGGTAAAAAAAAGGCACAGCAGAGTTAGACCCAGCGGGGAGTAACTCTATTATACAAAAAAACTCCTCGACATAGAAGCACAAACAGCACAAATACAAAACATCAGAGTCCGATGGGGAGGCGGGGTTGGGCGGGATCCTGAAGCCTCCAATGGGAGCTGCCGGTACGGCACATCAACCAGCTGCAGACCAACAGGTGGGAGGGAGAGATAAGGAACAGAGAGCACATTGAGTTTCCCGCAGGTCGCTGACCTCAGCAGAAGTCACAATCTGAAGGCCGGGGGGGAAGGTCGGGACACAGCATCTGTCAGCATTCCTCCTTTCATGGGGGTGTGTTGAGCAGCCTTGAGAGGCTGCCTTGGCGTCAGATAAGGATAAACATGGCTTTGTTTGGGGCAGGCAGAGATAATTTTCCTCTCTGCCTTGGAGTCTATAAGTGGTCATTCATGTCCACCAGTGAGCCAATTTTACGTTCTAAACATCCCCACATCGTCCGGCGACCCTCTCCGAGATGACATCCATCTTGCGTACTAATACAGGCAACGCCGCGAGGACATTATCCAGCTTACGGTTCACCTCGAGTAACGTCCCAGTCTGTGAGGTCACCGCACGAGCGGCACATTCCATGGGCGCGGGTCGCACTCCAATCGCTCCCGTCTTCCCAAATTTCCAGAAAACCAGATATCCTCCCACTCCAATCAGAAGAAATCCACTGATCATCAGGCCGAACATCCACAAATCTTCCATGTCCTCGATGGACAACTGAGAAAGGCACACGATTCGCCAGACCACCCAAGAATCGAGTGCATATCCCGCAGCGAATGTCCCCTCGGGACAGGTGGGAGCCCCCTTCTCCGTTCTCATCGTAGAAAAAATTTTATCAATTGCGTTGAATGACCAGCTAATTAAGTCCATATTTCCAAAAAAGAGTAGTGGTTTCAGGAGAAATGCAGAGAAGTACTCTGTAGGCTGACAGGACTGTAGGGGCTGTTCATTGTGCCCCTAACTAGGTTGTTTGGCAAAATGAACATGTGCAAGTTACTTATTCTGTCCCTGTTGTATAAGTGTGGTGATTTCCTTTTGAAAATACAACTATGCAGATGATGTCAGGACAACACAAACTATTGGTTTTCTGCAGCAAAATGTTCTGTTCATGTGTCTATTTGAAGATGTTTGTATCTCATGGCAACTTGAATAACTGTGACCTGTACCACTGACACTGTCTTGGGAATGTTTTATTGCAGAACGATCAAGTGGAAATTACAAAGACAGAAAAAGGCACATCAGTTCTTAATAAGGAGAAAAATATAGTTTAAACTATGTATTTTAGCTAACTGTTCTTTATATGTTATAATGATGCTAAAGCTATACTTGTTATATTATAAAACACACAACAAAACAGTGTAACAGTAAAAACACAAACTGATACTCTTTCAGACTTTGTATCTGTTCTCTTTGTGTACTTGCACTTCATTTTGGCTTGGTAGAATCCATAAAAATATATTTTGTTGCATTCTTTTTGTGTTATTTAGAAGTAAATCACTCTTAAAATGAAGCATAAACCATTCACCAACCTACATGGATAAAAATGGATTTTTACACACAGGGACAAAGTATAGAAGCTATACTAGTATTTAGGTGGCAGTCACTCTTGTACTCGATTGGTCATTCCAAGTGCTATGAAAAGTTTTTGGTAAAATGCAGGTACCCTCTCCTTCTGAGGAGGCCAGTACAAGATGCACCTCGAGCGCAACATTCCTCTACGGAGAAAAAGAGTGTGAGACAACTTGTAGTCGTGCACATCCTGCAGGAAGACGAGGACAACGGAGTCTCGGCTGGCCTCAATGACTTGGTGAAGTGCTTGATGGACTGTAAATCTAAACATAAACAAAAAAGTGTTAAAGAAAGAAGGGCAACTCATTTCAGCTGTAGCTAAACCATACCACCGCTTCATTCCTAGCAGGTCTTAACATATCAGCGAGTTGGAATTTCCTGCCAGTTGGGTCCAAACCTGTTACTACTTTGCTATGCTGAAATTATTGAAGGTGGGTGTAAATTTACCTTTAAAAGCCATCTTGTGTTTATACTCAAAGTCATTCCAAAAATGCAGTTATGACTTGGCATTCAGACACATTGACCTGCAGCCCTACTGTATGTGTTTAAGATAACCATCACAGTACTAAAGCTACACTTGTAGGTTTCTACTGTTCACAGGTACGTTATACAGCCAAATACACCACTGACTCAAGCATAGTCAAAGATGAAGAAATAAAAGTTTCAGTGACCAGACGAAAGAGCTGATCTAAACATTGGTGACATGAAGAGAAGGATGTTATAGACAGAACTTAAAAGGGAAAACCATAATAAGTCCAGGTTTAACCTACAAACTAAGCACCACAATCGAAAGATTCTGTGTAATGTCGAATGTCTTTTTATCTTCAATCTAATTCTAAATCATAACTAAAAGAAAACCTAGGCAGTGTGTGTTAAATTTACCGTGCACACCAGGGATCCGTGAGAAGACTTTCAGTCACAACAAACAAGATTTTTCTGGACTTTCTTATGTTATCCACAATGGATTCAAGCTGGGTAAAGCCAAGGATAGAATCTCGATCCTCCAAACAAAACCGGCACTTGTCTTTCTCCAAAGGCACCATCCGTTTCTCTACCCATGTGGCATCTTCCTCTGCATGTATGATATAAGCATCATAGTCAAAGTCTCTGACCTCTTCAACTTTGGCATCGCTGAATCCTAATGTACGGTTGATCAAGATGTTCCAGTAAAACTGGATCCTCCAGCTGTGGAACCGAGCCAGAAGTGCACCAATAATCAGCATTAAAACAGCGGTGGTGCTAAGTATGAAAAGAGCTTCAAATGGGGTCATATCTTTGCAAGAGAGGGGGTCAAAATCCACAATGGGGTGCTTAAAATAAGCAAGTGGAGTGTTGCATATATACTGGTCTCTTAGACCTGGTACACTGGTCACATTCGTGTTATTTAACCATGTCACAAACCACAGAATGCTCTCACATGTGCAGTCAAAAGGGTTTTTGGCCATGACAAGCACACTGAGGTTCCTCAGAGGAACGCTGAACACTTCAGGTCGGACAGAGGTGATCAAGTTTTTCTCTAAACGTAAAACCCGAGTAGAATTCAGATCGTCAAATACCGAGTACTGAAGATTGTCAAGAAGATTGTTACTAAGGCTGAGCTCTCTGAGGTTACTCAAACCCCTAAAAGCCTTCACAGGAATCTCATCCAACCCATTGTAATCCAACCATAAGTTGATCAACCTTTGTGTGTGCTTCAGAAACAAGACAGGACCACCAAGATTTGCAGTTTTCCACAAACGAGCCAAGTTGTTGTGCTGGAGTTTCAGCACTTTGAGGTTCAAAAGCCCTTCTAGCATATTCTCTCTGAGGTTCGCAATGTTGTTGTTGCTGAGATCCAAAACAGTCAGGTTGGCCAATGGATGAAATGGAGAAGGATCCTGGTTCAAAGCTTCAGCTTTAAGACTTTTCCCTAAAGTCAGGACTTTGAGAGTGGGTATGTTAACAAACGAATCAGAGGTCAGGTTAATCGACTGGATGTTATTGGTCATGTGAAGCTCTTGGATCTCATCTAGACCTTTGAATTCATCACCAGTAAGGGTTTGCTTTATGAAGTTGCGATCTAGTAGAAGAATGCTGAGATTTTTTAAAATAGAGAAGCTTCCTGGATCGATCTGTGTCAGAGCGTTTCCTGTTAGATCCAGCTTTTGGAGGGGGGAATCAGCTAGTGAGACAAACATATTGCTGTTGATGTGTTTCTGTGGGGTATGTATGTAACTACTCCAACTCAAATCCAGTTCTGTGAGGCTTGTCAGGCCAGTAAAGGTCTTCTCTTTGATTTCCATAAAAGCAGTCTTTTGTAGTATTAACCTCTTGAGGTTGCTCAGTGGCTGGAAGGCAAAGTTATCAATGACAGGGAGTGGAGATTTATGACTATTAACCAACGCTTTCATCATCTGTAGCTTCGTTAACATTTTAAGGCCCTGAAATGTTCCTCTGGTCAGGCGTTTAATGTTGTTGTCCGTCAAGACTAGAGTCTGAAGTTTAGTCAGCCACTGAAATGAGCCGTCATCGATTTTGTTTATTCCATTACCAGCTAGATCCAGAAAAGTTAGGTTTGTATTCTGAAGTCCAGTAAAGGTTTTGTTTGTAAGTGTAGGTAGCTTCAACTTCTTCAGAGACAGAGCTTCAATAGATGTTCCTGTCAGCTCCAAGCAAAGTTTGGAAATGAACGCAAGGTTAATGCTGCTCCTATCAAGGATCAGCATGCGCAGGCTAGAAATGGGCTTAAAGCATCCAGGCTCCAACTGCAAAAAGAGAAATGATACAGTGAGACAAGAAAAAGGGAAACAAAACAGACAACTGAAATTAAGGTGATACAAATAAAAACAGCTCAAAACTCGAAAACGTGATTTCAATTCCCATTTTTAGATAAGTAACGTACTGTTTTTAAGGACACGGCTGACAGGTTGAGAACTTGTAAAGATGAATGGTTAAGGTAGAAAAAGTCTTTTGTCTTCAGGGATGTGAAGTCATTGTGTCCTAAATTCAGAATAACCAAGTCGGGCAGCTGAGGCTGGCAGCCAAGCATGGCTGACTGGAGATTGTTCATAGACACATCAAGAAACGCCAGTCTCTGGAAGTTAGAAAAAGACAAAAAGATACTTCATAAGGTGCATGAGAAAGTGATAAATCCATTAGTGTCTATGTTGTATGTAATTTTGGCATTAAAATGCACACACACACACACACGCACGTACACACACGCGAGCACACACACACACACACATGCTTGTGTGGACCCTCCACTGACTTTTTTCTTTTTCTTTTCTGTGACTGTGTTATGCCTGACCCATACCCCAAATCTAATGCTGTTCTATTCCAAACCCTAATAATCAGTTAACATAGCAAGGCCAAGATCACAGCAGTTTTTCTGCAGCTCAAAATGACTTTTATCTCAAATAATTAATTGCAGATTACATGAATGCTACTTTATGAAAGTTTATATTGCTTTCACTTTTTCTACAGCAGGTAAGATGTTAATTGTTCTCAACCTTTCCACAGAAACCCATTTTAAATTATCTGAATTATTAGTTTAATTTTCTTTTTACTTATTTGCAAACAAACAGGTCAAACGGATTGATGTTAAATGTTGTTTTAACATAAAGACTTGTTGGTTTAAATTAGAGGATGTCATGTCGCATCAGAGAACAAGTCTATATGCCATATGATCCAATACCTGCAGTGCAATGAAGGGTTCTCCTTGCAGCCTTAGTCTATTGCTGGCCATGTTCAACCACGTTAGACTAGTGCAATGATTCAGATCTTCCTTGGTCAGCATGTGAACTTCATTGTGCTCCATATTCAGGGTCAGCAGTAGATGAAGGTTCTGGCACAAGTCTCCACCGAGCTTGGTGATGCTGTTATAACTGATATTGAGGTGTAACAGGCCTGTGTATCGGCTGAAGGAGTCAGGGAGAATCCGCACCAGTTGATTGTGAGACATGTCCAGGCTGGTGATGTTTTCTGGAAGATCGGGTGGCACTGCATGCAGGCTGAGATGACTGCAGTCAGCTCTGCCTTCTTTCACAGTGCAGGCAGACTTCTTTAGGGAGGCCGTGCAGTGGAGCGGCCCCACAAGGAAGGTACACACAAAGATGACCCATGTTGAAAGACTGGAACCAGATGCATGCATTTGAAACATCTACAAACATTAAAAAAGCACACTTTAAGATAAACAGAAAGCAGAGTGCCATGGCTAATCCACAGTGAAATTGTTTCAAAACACAAATTAGGGATACATTGAGTACACCTGTTATTTTATATCAGAGTATGAAAGTATGTGCGGCTTCACTTCCTATTTGAATCGATCAGTAATCACAAAGTGATATGCCATGGTTGACAAAGAGAATTTAGCAGAATGCTGTGCAGCCATGTGGGTCTCTTATACACACTCAAAACATAAATAGAAAATCCATCCATTTTCTGTCAGTGTTTCATTTTAGAATTATGTGCCTAAAATCAACCGTTTCAAAAAGCCCCTGTTTGTGATGTCACAGATGAAGAGAATTGCAAAGAACCCCTCTCTCATCTCTCCAGGCTGGAGGTGGAGAAGCTTTACTTTGAGCCCCTCCCTAATATTGGAGCTTCTCAGCTTATAGCAGCCTAAGCAGGAAGTAGGTGGGTGTGGCCAGCTCCAGCTTGTTTTCTTAAAGTGACAGAGCCCTGTGTTCATTCTGATGTGTCTGATTGGCTGCACCTGGCGGTAAGGCGTTTCCTGTTTCCTGTTTTCAGTGTTGCACTACGTGTAGCTGTTTGGTGTTTGGGACTCGCTAAAACAGATTTAAATTCTCTGTACTAGGATGTCTCTGAGTTATTGTAGCACATAAGCATGCTAAAACACACATTTTCTGTTGTTCCACCTAGCTTTTAGGGAACCATTTGAGTTCGCACGCAGTTTATTTGGTGTTGAACAGTTTGCTCGTCCAGTTAGCTTAGCCTCAGCACGGCTATGGCTACTTCTGTCTCTACTTCTCCGTCTCCTATCTCTTGCTCTCTGTGTCAGATGTTTAGTTACTCCTCTGCCTCCTTTAGTGATAATGGTACATGTAATAAATGTAGCATTTTTGTAGCTTTGGAGGCGAGGGTGTCGGAATTGGAGTCCCGGCTCCGCGCTGTTGAAAAACCTGTAAACAGCCGTAGTTACTTAGCTAGTGCGGGGCTAACTAGCTCAGAACAACCCTGTAGCGATCCTCCAGCAGAACCCGAGCAGCCGGGACCTCAGACCGGCTGGACGACAGTACGCAGGAAGCATAGAACTCAGCCCGTGGGCCACCACCAACCCGTCCACGTTTCTAATAGATTTTCCCCGCTCAGTGACGCACCCACTGACAAGCCAACTCTGATCATTGGCAGCTCCATAGTCAGAAACGTGGCATTAGAGGCTCCAGCAACCATAGTTAAATGTTTACCTGGGGCCAGAGCGGGCGACATTAAATCTTATCTGAAACTGCTGGCTAAGGATAAGTGTAAATACAGTAAGATTGTTATTCACGCTGGCGGTAACGACACCCGGTTACGCCAATCGGAGGTCACTAAAATTAATGTTGCTTCGGTGTGTAAGTTTGCCAAAACAATGTCGAACTCCATAATTTTCTCTGGCCCCCTACCCGATCGGACCAGTGACGACATGTTTAGCCGCATGCTGTCCTTCAACCGCTGGTTGTCTAGGTGGTGTCCTGAAAACAACGTGGGCTACATTGATAATTGGAAAACTTTTTGGGGAAAACCTGGTCTGATGCGGAGAGACGGCATCCATCCCTCTTTGGATGGAGCAGATCTTCTTTCTAGGAACATGGCCAGTTTTATTAGTCCTCCATGACTACCCAGGGTCCAGACCAGGAAGCAGAGTCGTAGTTTAACCCACCCCTCTGCAGCTTCTGTACTTTTACCCACCCACTACCCCATAGAGACAGTGTCCTGCCCACGGCCAAAATCACACAGATTAAATATCAGGCTTAATAAAGCAAATCATGGAAATCTCATAAATATTAGAACAAATTCAACTGAGCAGAAAACTAGAAAAATTAAATGTGGGTTGTTGAACATTAGATCCATTTTTTCTATGACTGTTAGTTAATGACTTGATTTGCGATAATCAGATTTCTTTGCTCTCTCTCACAGAATCCTGGCTGCAGCAAGAGGACTATGTTAGCTTAAATGAGTCGACTCCTTCAAATTATTTAAATCATCATATTGCTCAAAGTACAGGGTGAGGAGGAGATGTAGCAACCATTTTTCATTCAGACTTATTAATCAATCCCTTACAGATTAATAGTTACAGTTCGTTCAAACATGTTATTCTTAGTTTTCCTAATCCAGATTGCAAAACTGTAAAACCACTCCTGTTTGTAGTTTTATATCGTCCACCAGGCCCTTACTCAGAGTTTTTGGATCAGATCTCTGATTTTTTATCTGATTTGGTGCTAAATACTGATAAGGTCATTATAGTGGGGGATTTTAATATTCATGTGGACATTAAAAATGATAGCCTCAATGTAGCCTTTAGTAATATCCTAGACTCAATTGGTTTCACTCAAAGAATACATAACTCCACCCACTCCTGCCATCATGCATTGGACCTTGTGCTGACTTATGGCATAGAGTGTGAGGAAATAACAATCTTTCCACATAATCCAGTCCTCTCTGACCACTTTCTGATAACCTTTGAGTTTTTTATAATCGAGTTCTCGAGACATGAAAGTAAATTTCACTATAGTCGGTCTCTATCTGACAACGCAGTTGCATCTTTTAAATCAACTGTTCCATCTTTACTGTCCTCAGCATCTCAGAGGAACGTAGCAGAGGGCAATATTTTCAGTTCTAGCCCCTCACAAATTAATGCATTAGTTCATCATGTTAATTCCTCTTTACGTGTGGCATTAGATGATGTTGCCCCTTTAAAAAAGAAGGTAATTGGGGACAGGAAGTTGGCTCCCTGGTTTAATTCTCATTTACGAGCCTTAAAAGAAAACTCTAGGAAATTGGAGAGAACATGGCACTCTACGCACCATGAGGAGGTCTACCTATCCTGGAAAAATAGTCTTGTGCTTTATAAAATAAGCTTCGACAAACTAGAACTGCTTCTTTCTCAGCATTAATTGAGGAGAATAAGCATAATCCTAAATTTCTTTTCAGTACAGTTGCTAAACTTACACAGAATCATAGCTCTGAACCATGTATTCCCTTAGCCCTCAGCAGCAGTGACTTCATGGGATTTTTTACAAATAAAATTAATTCTATTAGAAACAAAATCTTTAGCATCCTCCCTAATGCAATTTCTTCTTCCTCAGTAAGTGAGGCAGCATCAGAGGTGACTGTAGAACCTCATCTGTGCTTGAACCGTTTTGATCCAGTTGAGCTTTCAGAGTTATCAAAAATATTAGCTTCATCTAAACCTTCAACTTGCATTTTAGATCCAATCCCAACCAAATTATTTAAAGAAGCATTTCCTTTGGTTACTGCCCCCATTCTAGATATAATCAATCTATCCTTAGTAAATGGATATGTACCACTGGATTTTAAGGTTGCTGTAATCAAACCTTCACTTAAGAAGCCTTCCCTGGATCCAGATGACCCAATGAATTATAGACCAATATCTAACCTTCCATTTTTATCCAAAGTCCTGGAGAAAATAGTGGCCATCCAAGTATGTGAGCATTTAAACACTAATGCTCTGTTTGAGGAATTTATGTCTGGTTTTAGAGAGTATCACAGCACTGAAACTGCATTAGTGAGAGTTACAAATGATATTCTCATGGCCTCAGATAAGAATCTTGTGTCTGTTCTAGTCTTGTTAGGTCTCAGTGCTGCCTTTGACACAGTAGATCACAATTAGGGCTGCACGATATTAGGAAAACCTGCGATATTCGATAACAGAGCTTAATATTGCGATATCGATATTACTCATGATAAATGAACAAATACTAAAGTATGCAGTGTTGATGTCGTCTGGCGACTGACGTCTGCTCTGGGTTCAAAGCAAACAAAAAATAATGCATTAATTCCATTACAACACAACATTTTTATTGCAAAAATATGCAGCTGCACATGCTAATGTATTAACAGCAAAACAACAAACTGCATGTATGCAGTTTCTCAGTGACTTTAAAACATCACCTCCACCATAAAACTTTTTCTGATGCTCCAAATACAGAAAAACATCCCTTACCAGGGTTTTAGAATAAATAAAAATATCTGAAAATAAGTTTAAATGTTAAATAATAGTTAACATCACTTAAATGCAACAGCAAATTCTCTCATTGCTACTGAACATTTTCTCCACTTATGTGGTTATGATATAAGGCTGTTGCTGTAATTGGGAAGTGAACTGTGCTGGGCCAAACTAGGAGAATATTAAGATTTTCTGAGGGAAAGAGAAAAACAATTGTCTACCTTTCAGAAGAGGAACTGGCAAAAAACTACATGGAAAATATGTGAAAACATTTGTTTTTAACCCCAAATTGAACAAGTTTACCTAGATCTTAAAAAGCAGCTCAGATGATGAAACTGCAACTATGATTCTGGTAACAAGCTAACAAATTGAACTAGCTCCTCTTAAGATACCCGGCTAGCAGAGCTTCTGACTGACAGTTTATGTGCAGCAGCAAATCAACTATCCTGATTAACAAGGTTATAAAAGTTAATAAATGAAAAATCACTTTCTTGTGTGGGGGAACTTTTCCAGGCCCTCTTTAGCAGGGTGGACTAACAGCCTGGGGCTAATGGTGGGTTGGTTCACCGGCACGTGTCAGAGTCAGCCAGGTTATTATCAGCTGCTTAACGACACCGAGCGGACTCACTTTCACGTTTGAAAGCAGCACTGATTCCAGAAACCTCAGCACAAAGTGTGTTCGTTGCTCTGAGCCAGCATGACGAACAAGGGAAGCGAGCGGCAGCAGAAAGCGGGTGCGGAGTGGAGATAGTGGAATTTTGGGGTAAGGGTCTACGTAGGGGGCGGGCGTATTACGTGAACGGACCCATCTGATTGTCCATATATCAGAAGGGCTACATTTGATTGGTCAAATAATACTTCCGTGTGAAAAACAGAGCTGGTTTACAAAAAGTTGATGTATGACACGGATGGAAATGTTTGAACCAAACATTTATCGCCGTTTTTGATGTGCTTTGCGATGGGCCTATCGCACGTCTTGTTATCGCGATGACGATATTTTTTTATATATTGTGCAGCCCTAATCACAATGTTCTTTTAGAAAGACTTGAACAAGTTGTAGGGATCAAAGGAAGAGTGCTAGGCTGGTTTAAATCCTATCTGTCTAAAATATTTCATTTTGTAAATGTACATGACAAATTGTCTTCATACTCCAGGGTTACTTGTGGAGTACCACAGGGTTCAGTGCTTGGATGAATTCTTTTTACTATATATATGCTCCCAATTGGTAAAATCATTAGACAGCATGGGATAAACTTCCACTGTTATGCTGACGATACTCAGTTATATTTATCCATTAACCCTGATGAACTAATCGGTTGGGTAGATTACAGGCTTGTCTTGAGGACATAAAACATTAGATGACTCTAAACTTTTTGCTTTTAAATCAAGACAAGATGGAAGTTCTCATCTTTGGACCAGAAATCCAGAAAAGAAAATTGCTTAGCCAATCACCTGACCTGAATGACATTACATTAATCTCCAAGAACAAAGTAAGGAACCTTGGTGTTATCTTTGACCAGGACATGTCATTCAAATCCCAGGTTAAACAAGTTTGTAGGATTTCCTTTTTCCACCTTCGGAATATTGCTAAGATTAGAAGCATCCTTTCCAGGAGTGATGCTGAAAAACTAGTTCATGCATTTATTACATCAAGACTGGATTACTGTAATTCATTACTCTCAGGAAGTCCACAGAATGTAGTTAAAAGTCTTCAGCTTGTCCAAAATGCTGCAGCTAGAGTTCTGATGAGAATTAAAAAGAGAGATCATATCTCTCCTGTCTTAGCTTCCCTACATTGGCTACCTGTTAAATTCAGAATAGATTTTAAGATCCTCCTTCTCACATACAAAGCTCTTAATAATCAAGCTCCATCATACATCAGTGATCTGATTGTTCCATACGTTCCTAACCGAGCACTTCGCTCTCAGACTGCAGGTCTACTTGTGGTTCCCAAAATATCTAAAATTAGGATGGGAGGCAGATCTTTTAGTTATCAGGCTCCTCTCCTGAGGAACCAGCTCCCAGCCTTAGTCTGTGAGGCAGACACCTTGTCTACTTTTAAGACTAGGCTTAAAACATTTTTATTTGGCCTATGGTTAAAATCTGATGTTAACCTAAATCTGGACAAGTGGGGGAGTACAGGGAGGTGGAGTGTACAGTCGGTAAAGACAGCTCTCCCTTGCCCTGCCTCCAACATGCCTCCATCTAAATAGGATAGATTATCCAGAGTTATCTCTGTAGTTATGCTGCTATAGGCTTAGACTGCTGGAGGATACACTGACCACTTTTCACACTCTACTGCTTTCTTCTACAGTCTGCTCTTTAACTGTACTATTTTCTGCAATTTCAGCTGTTAATATAATTTTCTCTCTAATTGTTTTTCTCCCCAGAAGAAGCTACACTGATGTTCTGCGGAGCTGTGGTGACCTCATGGAGGGGACCATAGACTAGCACACTGCTGCTAACCACTTAAACATTCTCCCTCTCCTGGTAATAACTTTTTGCTTTCCTTGACGTTGGATGTGCTAATACTAGTTTACCCATTTAATTATAGATCCACTAGGATAAATAAAATAAAGTTTATCCCTCACCAAATAGAATATTTACTAAGACATCACAATATAACTATAGACACATTACTTGTCTCTGTGTGTGTGTGTGTGCATGTGTGTGTGTGTGTGTGTGTGTGTGTGTGTGTGTGTGTGTGTGTGTGTGTGTGTGTGTGTGTGTGTGTGTGTGTGTGTGTGTGTGTGTGTGTGTGTGTGTCTGCTCTGTCTTCTCGATCCCCAGTGAGTCGTGGAGGATGGCTGCTTATACTGAGCCAGGATCCTCTGGAGGTTTCTTCCTGTTAAAAGGGAATTTTCCTCTCCACTGTCGCTAAATGCTTGCTTAGTATGAGGATTGCTGTAAAGTCACTGACACTAGTCAGTGACTTGATGCAATTTGCTGGGTTCCTTATATAGAAAACATTATTTCTGATTGGCTTAATGAACTGACCTGAATTGCAATGTTTATTATGTGAAGTACCTTGAGACGACTCTTGTCGTGATTTGGCGCTATGTAAATAAAATTGAATTGAATTGAAACGACTCATTCTGGAAGGTAATGAAACTGTCAATAATAAAACTGATGAAATCCCTTGTTGTGTAAACACATTTTGTCACGGTCTGAGGTATTTCCCTGCTGTCACTCCCTGTCTTTTGAGTTTCCCTCTGCAGGTGGGCGTGTCTGGAGGTGACCAAGCTGCAGCAGATCTGCTCATCAGCTGGCCAGGGGTATTTAAGCAGCTGGGAGACTCCTACACTTCGCTGGATGATTACTCTACCTGGGTACCTTCTAACAGCCACTTGAGAAACTTATTCGAGCTCTGTAAACTCTTGAGAATTAGATTTGTTTTTGGATTTTGGATTTTTTGAGATTTGATGTGTTTTTGGATTTTGGATTTTTGCCTTTGTGACCTCCTGCTCTTGTTCCCAGACAAACCTACACACTCATCTCTGACTGGCAGAACTCTGGAGCCCACACCATTTGGATCTCCAACTCCGCTCGTCTCTCAGCCTCTCCCCTGGCCAGACCCGCCTCCAGCTGCCCACCTAACCTCCCCAAGCTCAGCTCCCTCCACGTCTCTTTTCTGGATCTCAGTCCCTGCTACCCAGACCGGACCACTCCTCCCTCAAACCAGTTCCCACCTCTCCAGACCGTAAGTCCTCCACATAAGCCTGATTCCCTGTGCCATCTGCAAATTGGATCTAACTCCGATCTGTCCACAGCTTCTCCCGCACCAGCTTCCTCGTGCAAGAACTCAGCTACGTTTACGCTGCTTCCTTGGTTTCCCTTTAAAATAAATTCTTTTTAAAAACATTTTACACCGTCTCAGATCTGATTCTGTATGTCGTGGGTTAGATTTCTTCACCACAACATGTCACATTTCTTATAGACCCGGGCTAATATAACGTTTTAAAAAGAGAATGTTATGAAACAAACATCACATTTAAACTAGAGCTTGACATTGGTTCTAAATATTAAAAAACACTCAGCTTTTGAAACCAAACTGAACGACATTCTTGTAAAAATTAAACGAGCGGTGCAAGAAAAATGTTCTCACAGTGGCTCTTTAACCTTATTTCTGCTAAATTTGAGACGACAAAGTCCGTCTTATTTTAAGGTTGTTTACAGTAAAATGTAAACTACATTTTTTCAAATATGACAAGATTTGAGTTGTATGCATATAGAAAATAACAGTAATCAGCAGATCGCTTACCAGATGTTGATGCACAGATGCGCTAGACGGAAGTTTTTGTCCTTCACTAAAACTTTCCACAGCCGATCATTCAGTGCAGGCTTTTCAGCAGCAGACAGAGCAGCGCCCGCAAATTAGGAAATGGAAACTTATAAATCCGGTTTCGCTTCTTCTGTCAGTTTGGTTTGGTTTTAACTCTTTCGTGCACCTAATTGCGCGTCTGCAGATGGGCATTCTCTGTGCATATTATGCCCAGATGACGAGAGATTTCGTAATAAATATAATATATGACAGGAAGGGTTTTCAAGACTGGTCGAAACGAAAGTTAGCTTCACGTTATCTTGGGACTCTTATTTTGAACGGTAGCGAAAGTTGTGTTTGAGTTCCGGTGTATTGAAAACATCAGAAGTTATTTATTCAGACGTAGATGCGCCACCTTGAAAGGTGCGTGTGCGTTCAATAACGCGTCACGATCTAAAAGCTTGTGCAGTATTGGGTAAAATGATCCGGTACTCTTCTCAATCTAAATCCATAAACTAATAATAAACTCACCACTTTCAAGGCTTTTTACACACAAAATTACCTTCAAAACACCATAGCTGGTTTAGGTTACAAATAAAGCAGGATGGACGCAGCAGAAACTGAAGCCGAGTGCATTTCTGTAGTTTATTTCTGTTTGCACAGACTGGCCACAGGGGGGCAGTAAATCCCAATGCAAAACAACAGTGATGTCCGTGGAGTGTGTTCTGTGCTCTCTGGATACAAAAAAAAACAGATACAATTATTTTACACGCATTATGTGCACAGACATTCTCTATGCGCATGTCTCATTCTATAACTCTTAGTTTGAAATGTGCTGCGACTACGCATTTTCTTTTTTAAATGCCTGCTTTCTCTGATAAAAGCAATTATATTTTAATTTACTAAGTAATAAGTAATGAAGGTCACAAGAAATGTGATTAGGTGCTTTTGTTCTCCTCTGTCTGTTGTTGCTCTTGCAATTTTAGTCCAAAAGTAAGCGCATCAGTGTGACGCTTAAAATAGCAATAAATCTGAAGATAGTGGTATCAGCAAGTCCATTTTGAAAGGTCAGCACTAATGGAAAAGCAGAAATGACTTGCTGGTGGTGTTGGATTAAATGCCAGCGATTTTAAGCTCCTGTAGACCTACAAAGCTGTCTAGTTGTGTTATGTCATCAGTACCACCACTAATTCATCATTACTGATCAATGTAGCAAACTTGACTTGTGGCGTTTAGAACTCACAACACTGCTGATAAAAATGGATGAATCCATAACTTAGCCATAGCCTAGAAAATCACTGCTTTTAAATATATTAATATTTGATAGAAGACCCTTAAAAACACATAATTTGAAATGTGTCAGATGATAAATCTCATTTACACTCACTTGTAAGTTGCTTTGGACAAAAGCGTCTGCTAAGTACATAAACATGCATACACGCATTAAATGTGATGATTTACAAACTTTACAGGCATACAGAGTTCTACATTTTATATGGAGTTCTGACTGAGATTTTATAAATGTAATTTTTACTAATAAAATCTTGCGAACCTCACAACCTCAGCACAGGCAGTTTTGCTGAACCTCAGTTTGGGAACCACTGGAGAATGATTAATTTAAAAATCATAACAAATGTTTAAAGTTTTGAATGGGTGTGAAGTTTCACTAAACTGCTAAAAAAAGCTTTTTTACAGCATTGATTCTGAACCGTTTCTGTTGCAGTACGCACCTGTTCAATGCTTTAATGAAAAACTGAACGTTGTCATTCTCCTAAGATGAGTTACAACTTGAGAATGCAGAGTTCCTGCAAAAAACATGATTTAAACGCTTAATATTGGATCTAAACATAAGAAAATAAACAAATCACCTGGCAACTCAATGCCTTAAGTGGCCTGTTTTTCTCTGTGGGATTACGTAGAAGCAGTTAGTTGTAAGAATGCATACTCAACATTTCCACATTTGCTTTGATTTTCTGACAAAATTTGAAAAAGTGGCCAAATGTTTTGTGTGTGCATGTTGAGAAGCTCTATTGCGTCAATAGATGCACAACATAGCCTTACAGCACATAAAACACACTCCAAATGATTCTTCTGCTAGTTTAGTGTAAGCACATCTGATCATTTTCATGCACCTGCAAAATCTCTAACATTTGCTATTTTCCTTTCAAGCACAAAGATGGAACAACCTATTTGTGAGCTAAAATACTTTACAATCCCCTGTGGTGTAAAACATTGATTGTTTTCCTTCTTTTCCATCCACTCTAAACGCCCACCCTGCTAATAGATACAGAGAGGAGGACACGGGCCCTACCCTGCACGTTGTCTCTAAAATGGTTATTGTTGTGAACGAGGACAGTTGCACTGTCTGTCATTGTGATGTTGGTTTGTGTCAAGGAGACCTGCTGCAGACTCATCCCTGAACAGACCTAAAATAATATATTTTCTGTGTTTTTCAACCTTTACACTTCCCTCAGATTAATGGAGCAGGTTCTTCCTGGGACAGACCTGATAGGCCACCTGACTGGTTTACCCCACTGCTAAGCTGAGCCAGCTTAAAGGGCTTTATGCCAAAAGCTCGACTGTGAAGACCTGTTAAAAGAGGGAACAATCTGCACGATCAGCACTGTGGCTATGCAGTTACTGTCGCAGTTAATAATTAGGAATTGACAAAAGCAGCCAATCTGGATATTACTCAAGAGAAAGCTCTGCAGCGTCCGTCTGCTGGCTGAATCCCAAGGGGCTCGCTGAAGAGGTCAGGAGGGAGAAGGAAGCAATCTGAGGCACTGAAAATGATAGAAACCAGGCTGGGGTGAGATTCTCACAAGATTGGGACTGGAATGAAGGATTAACAATGAGGACCAACCTGCACTGAGGGAGCTGCATTGATGTTTGTCTGACTGCACTCATCCAAAAGGGATAACTGGAAGGAGGTAGCGGCTCCATCAATGGGGTGTGTGTGTGTGCCACATTCCTCATTTTACCGGATTGGGTAAAGCTCCTCTCCCTGATCTGCAGACCAGATCTTTGGAGTGTTGGAATGCCTGAAAGGTGAGTTTTCCATGGCTATATTTAGTGGGTGATAACATAAATTATGTAATCATGTTCCATACCGGTCGATTGAGGGATTTCAAATCCTCTTCTCACACACACAGGAGAAGAAATCAGTTAATAGCTGAGACTTTTACTATATAGAACAAATCTAATGCTTTAATTAGTTTCACTTTGGGGAATGCATCTTGCTGAAGCAGAAAACTGTGCTTAGAAAGAGAGGTGAGATATTTACATGTGCTTTTAGACATGTAGCATGTCCTCTGCAGAAAAAAATAAAAAAATAACACTGCAGTACATGGCCCCCTCCCCAGTTTGCTGACCAATGATGTTTGGAGGTCAGAATCTCTTGGTGATGGCGTCTGCATCGCAGCTTCTTCCACAGCACACTATCATACCTCAGGAGACACAAGGGGGCCATAATGATAAATATGAGCAACAATTCATGCAGTGCTCAAGTCTAGTCACACGCTTGCAGGCACAGGCTGGTGGTTCTCACTAGATAAATATGGATGACTCCATGTGATTTGTCACAATGCAAAAACATGTTGCTATCTTAAACGCCTCGAATGAGCATCAACTGTTTGATAACTGAGATGTACTCAGACTTCACGCCGTCTGATTTTTTATTAAGTGACTGCATAACGTCTTTATATAATTGTAACTGTTTGTGTGATCTGCAGATGCATAACCAAAACAAACACGTTTACAGAAAATCTTTTGGACCTTAATCAGTCTTGGTTTGTGTTTTTCCTCGCTGCCTGGTGCTAGCTAAGTGCTGACACGTGTCTCTTCTCACTATAAGTGGTCCCCAGAGGCAGACAGAACATCAATACTGAGGTGGGATCAGCAGCATGGATGTACCACTGTGCTGCTCGCTCTTTGCAGTGCAGTTTTAGTGAAATGCAAGGAAGGGAATTTTTTTTTGTTTGATTAAAAAGTGCCAGACACAAAGAGGGATGTAAGTCAGCTGGCTAATGGAGAAGTTTTACATGAAATAATCCAACACATCTGTCTTTTCTAAGAAAAGATGTACAGTGCTCAGCATAAATGAGTACACCCACTACATTTGTCATAAATCCTTTAGTTTCCTTTCAGAATCAACATTTTCTATGAGATACCGTACTACTAAATACTCCCACAAATGTGGGCCACTGATTGCAAACAGGGTTTGTTCATCTGCACACACACAAAGCGATTTTCCTAACAAATCCATTCAAGTCCACGCTGCAAAAATAAGTACACCCCGATCATAGTCTTAGGAGAAAAGCTACACTTAAGACTACAAAATTAACAGGCATTCAACCACAGGTGAGTCCGATGATTCATTTAAGAGATGTCCAGCAGACAGGTGACTATAAAAGGGCGTTACTTACCGAAGAAAAGCCCTTCCCATTTCATGCTGTCAGCAATGGCTCCATGTGGAAGAGAAATGTCACAAAATCTGAGAAAGAAACATATTTCTTTTCACAACAAAGGTGAGGGCTACAAGAAAATCAGCAAAGCTTTACATATAGGTCAAAATACTGTAGCAAAGACGTAAGAAAGATGGAAGTACAACCATCTTACAGGAACGTCATCTCGACAGGAGCGTCTTCTGGTCAGAAGGGTTGAAGAAAACCACCATGCAGACATATTAAGGACATTTTACTGACTTCCTATTATTCTTTTATAGAGACTATTATCACATTTTCCATCCCCTGTTGGTTTTATTCTGTCAGCCTGCAGTATAGAAACTGTCTACAGAGCACCGTCTCGGATCATTGGACTACCACTGCGAAACGTAACTTCTCAATGTGACCAGCATACAGGAAGTTTAGCACAGAAAATCATTAAAGACCCATCACACCCTCTTCTTACTGTTTTCGAGTGGCTGCCCTCCAAACGCTGACGTCAATGCCCATGCTGTAAAACACAGAGGAGGAGAAGTCCCTTAGTTCCCAGAGCTGTGCTTCTTCTTAATTCTTAGTGCCGATAAGGGGAGCGTGCATTACTTGTATGTGTGTGTGCATGTAGTTACATGTATGCATGTGTATTTGTGTGTGTGCGTGTGTGTGTGTGTGTGTATCTGTGTGTGTGTGTGTGTGCGTGCGTGCGTGCGTGCGTGCGTGCGTGTGTGTGTGTGTGTGTGTGTGTGTGTGTGTGTGTGTGTGTGTGAGAGAGAGAGAGAGCCAAAGGTTTACTCATTGTTGGTCATT